AATTAGACCCAAGRTATATGTACTTAAATCTGTCTTGTCTAGAAAGCCAGCAACTTGAGAAATAACCAATTATTTAATGTAAGTTTTGTTGGAGGGATTACATATTTAATTTACATTCCCTGACAATTTCTGGTACATAAAAATGTTGTGAAGCCATGACTATACAAAAATAATACTAATAAAAGTAAAYTAGTTTTTTCAGTTTATCATGATAGAACATTATAATATATTCTCTATATATTCTCATAATTCAACCATGTTATTTATCTAGTTTATATTCTCAGCAAATGTCTATTTTCCTATACAGTAGATTTTCTTTAGTTGATAATAATTTTGCATAAAATATTAGTGAGCTGTTCCAAATAAATAATTTTCTATTTAATTGTAAATGCTATTTAACTTTCTTCATATAAAAATAATTTTGACACAAGAATAATAGTTTTATTGCAAAGGTATATAGCTATTTTTTCTTGTTTTCTCTATTGGAGATAAAACAGTAATGTAACTTTGAAAGAGATTTATCAGTATATCAAAAATGGAAGGATCAATAATCTTAAGTATGTAGAATTTTTATTCTGGTATGGATCTGATGATGTTAAAACTAGAAAATTCTAACTTTTTGCAGTGACCTATTGTCAGCTAAATGACATACTTTTTTTTGCCAGTACCAGTATTCTGATGAGTAACATCTAGAACTTTTCCCTTCATCAATATTATGTAAAATTGTATAAAGTGTGATCTAATATGAAAGATAACTATTATCAACTTTTTAGGTTAAATTTCCAAAATGTATTAAAATTGAAGTTTGAAAGAATCATTGAAATAGAATAATGAAATAACCAGATACAGACTTGAGAAAAAGAAACCCATTGTCTTAAGAAGTATATTAACTTTATCAAAAAGAAGAAAAAGCAAGTAAAATATTTTAAAATTAATTTAGCTTTGTTAAGTTTTTCAGAATAAACTTTCATTATATTTATTTTATAGCATTTCTTGTTTGTTAGTATATTTAATCTTTTGCTCATTCCTTATTAGAATCRTTCAGAATATCAGTCTATTTTACTCTTATTACACATGATCTCTCTGTGYACTTTTTATTTTAGATATTAGTAAATACAAAATATACCTCTCAATGGCATAAAAGTTTCTAAACTCCTATTTTTGTTTACACCAGTTTCAGAACTTGAGCTCTGATTCTGAAGCACGTTTGTATGTCTTATATTTATTAATGACACCACATGTATTGTGTTGAAGTATTTTGGAAGTTCATTAGTACATAGCTTCAAAAAATGTAAGGATGTATTTTTCAAATCCAGACAGTGCTCCACATTCATTATCCTTTACTGTATTTTTGCTTTGTTTTCTCAGAATCATTGTRTACTTGTATTTAAGTCCTACTGATAATTTTATTTTTCCTATTTGTATTATTATTTATTACTTGAAGTAAACAATTTCTCTTTTTCACATGGAATTCATCACCAATCCACATTAACAGTTCTCTTTGAAAATATAGTAAAGTATAATTATTTAGAAAATATAGTAAAGTATAATTATTTAGAAAATATAGTAAAACCAGTCCTCTTTGTCTCCATGGCTACCATCCTTATCCACATTTCTATCTTCTCTTGTGTGACTTATTATTTCCATTCTTGTCCCCTTCTCCATTTTCCATATTTGTGACTGGAATAATATCAGGGAACTTCTGTGCTTAAAATTCTGCAGTGGCTTCTCCCTTCACAGAATGCAATCCAATTCCCGCCAGTCCTCTCTCATTTTGTATCATTGTCTGTCATGTTCAWTTTACCCCAACTCACTCAGCAAGCACATGCTTTGAACTGACCCAGTTTGCTTGACCTGCTTATTGTTCCTTCTGGTGGGAAACTCAGTACTGGGTTTCTTTTCATTCCTCCGGTCATTGAAATAATTTTTATAATCTCTTCTCTTCATCTTCCCACCCCTCATGTTGCCATCTGAAATTATCACTGTTTTATGTTCTTTTCACTGTCTATCTCTTGTCACTAAAATATGTGAGCACTGTAACAGAAGATTCTAGCATCTAGGCCAGTACCTATTATATGGTAAGTCAGTATTCAGAGTTCCAACATTATTCTGCGTACCTCTTCACCCACAAAACAGGAAATTTAGAGACCAAGCTAGACATAGGTCTGTAGTGCTCAATGTAGATGTTCATTCTTTCTCAAAATATAACTCAGAGCACAATACTGAGTAGGACACAGAATTAAATCCAACTAACAAAATAACAACAGAACACTGCCTACCTTTCTCCCTGAGAAGGCATGAATTATTTTACTCTGTTCATGGCTTGGCTGGGGTAAAAAATTTGTGGTGCCTTCCTCAGCTCTTCCTTTTCTCTCACGGCTTATGACTAATCATAAGTTATAGTGGGTTTATCGTCAAAGCACATCCAAAATACAACTACTTCTCAGTGTCTCTTCTACTACCACTGGTCCAAAGCACCTAGACTTGTAATTACAATAGTTCCCAATGGGTCTTCCTGTTTCAACTTTTGTTCTGCTTTAATATATTTTCTACATCATGGCTCAAGTTATCTATTTGAAGAATAAGATGCTCCTGATGCTGCAGTGACTCAGAGCAATGTCCTGACCCTCACCCCACCCGCTTTCTAACCTATACCAGGTACCATGCTATCATTTGAATTACTAAGATTATCTCCACTTAAAGACCTTCCACTTACCATTTCTTTCTGTAGTACTCCTCTCCTTCATTCCATTTCTACATGGATTGCTGCTTTTTTCTTGTATATAATGAATAATAGTGACCATTAATTAGTCATTGGAAACCTTACTTTTCATATAAAGAACTAGCAATAGAATTCAAGACAATGGATTCTGACAATGCTTAGGATGAAGCTTTTTAGAGCTCTCCAGATCTAACACTTAGAAAAATTTCTCTAGATTCCTGTAAACCTTAACTTCCTTTTTTGTAAGATAGGTATAAAAGCCCATCTCATTGGGTTGTTCCAGGAATATAATTAGACTTTGTAAAGTGCTTGCCTGGCTTATAGTGAATGCTCAAATAATACAAATATTACTTTAGCATAACTCTTGACTGCCATTGTAGTTATCTGGACATGGTTACAATTGGGTTGAATATYGTCTCCATATTATTCTTTGCCACTGGAAAGTATATGTTAAAAGTTTTTACTTTTTTTGGCAGGGGAGGGGGTACCAGGGACTAAACTCAGGGGCACTTGACCTCTGAGCCTCATCGCCAGCCCTATTTTGTATTTTATTTAGAGACAGGGTCTCACTGAGTTGCTTAACACCTCACTATTGCTGAGGCTGGCTTTGAACTCCTGCCTCAGCCTCCCAACCTCTTGGGATTACAAGCATGCATCACCACACCTGGCTAAAAGGTTTTATATGCTGATGAATAAATTTTAAAAGCAAAATAATTTTGAGTTCTATATGTACAATGACATACATTAGAGACACTGTAATTTGACTATCACTCCATCACTAGCTTCCAGTTCTTGAACATTATAGTCTTTTTTTACTAAAATATTTTCTTAGTATAAATTCATATTTGGAAGACATTATTGTTTGAAAGGGTTTGAAACTTACTTATCACTCCTGTGGAATTTACCCAGTGTGTTGTACATTCATGTAGAGGGTTTATTGTACTGCAACGTTAAAAAATATATAGACTAGGGCTAGGGATATAGCTCAGTTGATAGAATGCTTGCCTTGCCTGCACAAGGCCCTGGGTTCAATCCCCAGTACTGTAAAAAAAATTACTAAATAAATACATACACACAAAACACACACACACACACACACACACACACACACACACACATATTAGCCAGGCACAGTGGCACATACCTGTGATCCCAGTGGCTGAACATCATATCGGAAGAGTGTAGCAGAGGGAAGCAGCTCACATCATGGTGAACAGGAAGCAGAGAGAGTGTCTCCACTTGYCAGCTACAAATATATATCCCAAAGCCACCTCCTCCAGCCACACCCTACCACTTCAGTTACCACACAGTAGGTCTCCATCACTCATTGGGTTAAGACTCTCACAACTCAATCATTTCTCCTCTAAACCTTCTTACATAGTCTCACACATGAGCTTTGGGGGACACCTCATATCCAAACCATAAAACTATATATTATATAAATATATAAATATACTTATATAAATATATACATTTATATAAATCTATACATACATATATTTATATACATAAATATATATTTATATACATATATGTATGCTTCTATTTTATGCATATATACACACATATACATACATATTAGTTTCATTTATGTTTCAGTTAGAAAAAAATAAATTATCTAGAAAAAATAAATATCTGATTAGAATAAACATAATCAAGAATAATATTGATAATATTTCATTGTTTGTGTTAGCATAAGAACAAACTAAATAGTCTGATTTGTTTCTTTAAATTAATATATGATTACTCAGTTCATTTTTAATTAGAAAAGTTAAAATAATAGTGTATCAGAAATTATAATCTTTTGTTTAAAACTTAAGAAGTGATTATGTCTGCTGAATTAGTGTTCATAAATAAAGAAAAGCATGAGTACGATATTTGAAATTGATGTGTGCAGATACAATGATGTACCTCTAAATAATTAAAAACATGAAGAAATTGAAATTTTTATTTTAAATTGAACCCATTGTACATGTTTGATTGTTTGGCAGATCTCCCTTCCTGCATTATTCTCCAGGAGGCAAATTGACTGTTAACCATTTAACCATTCTGCAAAGATCTTCCCACTGATAATATTGATAATTAAACACTATACTACTGATAATTAAATGATCCCAAGAGAGTAAAAACTAGCTATGAAGACAAGAAGAATACATAAATTTCATTTTAATTTAATATTATTCGTTTTTTCCTTTACATTTTACTGAGCTATGATCTAAATCTGAAATAAGATTGACATAATAGAGCCGAGCTAATTATTGTCTTTTCTAACTTTCAGCATAAAGAACGTAACTCCCAAAGTAGGAGACCCTGAGACCCGTAAGGCTATTCGCCGTGCCTTTGATGTGTGGCAGAATGTAACTCCTCTGACATTTGAAGAAGTTCCCTACAGTGAATTAGAAAATGGCAAACGTGATGTGGATATAACCATTATATTTGCATCTGGTTTTCATGGAGACAGTTCTCCCTTTGATGGGGAGGGAGGATTTTTGGCACATGCCTATTTCCCTGGACCAGGAATTGGAGGAGATACTCATTTTGATTCAGATGAGCCATGGACACTAGGAAATCCTAATCATGATGGTAAGTTTATACTTTCTTTGCAGTGTAAATAGACTTATTTTTATTTTTAGAATGCCCCATGGATTTACTAATTTATGAGCGTAAGGCATTGATTCTAAATTTTCCTTTAAAGTTATAAAGCAGTATGTAAGGCTTGTTATGTTTTAGAATAAGAATTGGTATGAGTCAGTAGATAATATAGTTATGCATATGTTCTTTTGGTTAAAGATTATAACCTTACACTGTATTTSTAAATACTATAAATTTAAGAACAACTTCATGATAAAACAACTAACATGATAGTTACTTGAATAAAAGACACGTGTTTCTAGACAAAAATGCATATTTTGATTCTGATTTTTTAAACATTCAATTATAGCATCTTAGACTTATATGATTCCTAAGCATCCATGTGCCTAATTCTTTTAAGACTTAAATATTTTCCCTCCTCTCTATTGTAGAATGTTGTTCTTTCTACAAGAATGCATAGCTTTAATGACAACTAATCAGCTAATAAAACTCTTAATTCCTCCTTGATGAGTTAAGCCTAGTCATGAAATGAAGCTTTGTTAATGCATTAGAAGGTTTAGTTAGCTGGATTATTGTAATAGCTTCGCACATTTAGGACACCCAGGGTTCAAACATGTAATGGATAGAATGAGGTTGAGTTAAAGTAGCAATCAGTTTTCAAAGAAAACACAACTGTTCTTGTTTTCCAAAATAAATTACATTTAAATTTTTCAAAACTTTTTATTTAAAAGACAGAGACAGATTTATCAGGAGATTTCAAGTATAGTGGAATGAAAAGCCAAAAACCTTGGAGTCAAGCAGATTAATGTTTAAAAGCTGGCTAAATAGTCATCAGTTCAAAAAGCCTCTGTCTGATGTGTATTTTCTTATTCTTACCATGTAGTTTAAATTGCAGGCTATGAAGAATGTGAGTGGAAGCTCTTTCTATGCAGGACTATTTAAACTATATCTAAGCATCTAATAATACAATATCTGGCAACATGGTTGTTGAACCCTAAAGTTTGATTCTTTGTGATGTATCTAAGAAATAAGAAAAAAAAAAAAAAAGAAGAAGAAAACTAAAAAAAAAATTTGATTCTGGTATCACTTAAAATGAAATTTTCTTTTATTTTTATCAAAGTCACACAATCATCCCAATGAAATCACTCAGACTTCAAGTCAATTGTTAGCATTTTGTTTTTGCACTCTAAATTATTAAAAAGAGTGGTACTTCTAATGGGAGAATTTTGTTGGCACAGGCAAAAGTATGTTTGCTTCCAGGGGAATAATGGTCTTGAAGTTCTGAAAACAGAAAATAATCTTTTGTTGCAATTATATATCCAATTATTAAAGTCACATTATTTTTAAAATTTAAATTAATGTTTAAAATAATAACTATATATACTTCAGGACAACATGTAACATTTCCATACATGTACACATTGTGTAAAGTTTAAATAAGATTAAATATTTCTAGCTCCTTAAATACTTATCACTTCTTTATGCTGAAACTTTAAAATCTGTAGTCTTGAAGTTGTGTTAATTTGGCTTTTTGGCCTCATAAATTAAAGTGTATTAAAATTTTATACGAAGGAGAAAACTATCAAATTGCCAATATTTTGTCTTAGTATGCTGAAATCCTTGACAAAGAAGGGCTGTAATAATTCTTAGGTGTATGCTGTATTAGTGAGCTTTTAAAGCATCAACCAGCACTTTTTAAAAATAGACAAAGTTTTTAAGAAAAACTCGGTAAGGGGATTTGATGACATATGAAATGGGAATGTTTGAGTATGATCATTGCTGTGAATGTTTTTTGTTTTGCATATTGTTTTTCAAGGAATGGATATATAGAAAAAAAATCTGAAATATAGCTTGTGGCCTGTAGGTGTGCAATCACTTTAAGTCACTTGTCACTGAGAGAATCCACTGGTTTATCTGATTGCTTCCTAACTTATACTGTGGAGATGATAGAACATTCTGTGCACATACAGGCACATGACTAAAAACTTAAAACAGTTGTTTGATACTTGGTTTTTCATTTGGAGGAAAATATGTCTTTAGCACTCAAATAAGAATGTTTCGCCTTGTGAATGTGCCTAAAGGAAAGAACTGTACAAAATAATAATGTTTCAGAATTGCAAGGGATTAGTGAGATGTTAATTGACTGTAGGAAATGTAATTCCATAAAGATTTACTGCTTAATTGAAATTCAAACTCTTAACCAGAAACAGCAGGGCAGCCAGGGTAGTGTCAGGCTGAAGTATTGATCATTTATCAAAAGAACAGCCTCTAGCTTTGCTTGTGGTACTGGGGAATGTGGGGAGAATTCATGCCTTTATATATACTAGATCCAAACTGCATGTGAGACTATTGTATCACAAACAATACAAGACAAAATTTTCACATCTTCATCAATAAGCTTTTGTTTTTCTTTAATCTAGTCCTGGAATGCCCCTGGCTTACTTACCTGAATTATTTTCTTCCTATCCTATTTACAGCTCTTGAGCAAGGAGAAAACAGAGCAGCTTGGTTATTTAGTGAAAATGCAAATGAAAAAGCCTTTTGATAAGTACCCAGCTCATTTTCCACAGCATATTGCTCAGCTAATGAAGGCAATTTGAATTCTGTCTACCTCAAAAGAGATAAAYGGTGTCTTAGGTTGCCAGTAACCCTTAATTCATTGTTATCTACTTTCCTATCAATTTGCTTATAGTCATGATATTTTTTGAAAACTCAAGCTGAAGGCCATTAAGTAAATTAAAATAAATATCCACATTCTCCCTCTCTGTCTCACACACATACACATACTCATTGTCTCTTTCACACACATACATCCCTAAAAAAATTATGCCATTTTTCTATTTTTTAATTTATTTATTTTATTGAGTTTTTAATTTTTGTTTACTGAATAAGTAAAATAAATCCAGAGTAATTCAAAAGAAAATATTTATCATGATAGGGTTTTTGAAAATAATATATTGACAGTAGTTTGGAAATTTTAACTCTAGAATGTTAAACTTTATTTTGGATTACATTAGCTTATAGTTTCCTTGGCTATGATATAAAGTTTAAGTGGAATTATAAATACAAGCACAACCTATCACAAAGCTATTTCTTTTTTTAAAAATACCTTTATTTTGTTTATTTAATTGTTTATGTGGTACTGGGGATCGAACCCAGTGCTTCCTGCATGCTAGGCAAGCACTCTACCTCTGAGCCACAACCCCAGCCCCCACAAAGCTATTTCTAAATAGACAAATATATAAGAAGTAATGAGATTTCAAATTGATAATCTCTGAACAAAAAAAAATACCTATTATAATGATATATAAAACTTGAGATAGAATAATATCTAAATAATGTCCTATTTACCATTGCAGTTGCAATTCTGCTAACAGAAATAATGCAATACAATGACTATTTACTGTTTTGAAAGTTCATAGCCTAAAGTCAAGGGTATAGCACTCTTGTGGCAGGCTGTCCAAAAATATAAGGAGAGATTAATAATGATAAAAATGTCACCTGAGACATCAAAACTCTTAAATCTATTCTGTTTTTCAATGTGAAATTATCATTTCATCCCAACCCACTCACTCATGAATACTCAAAGGATTTTCATGATGTGATTCTTGAGTCAATGGACCTGACTTATGCCAACCATGGAGAGTTAACACAGTTAAGAAAGATGTAATCTTGGGTACACTAGTATAGAAAGTACATGCCCTAGGTAAACACAGATATTTGGCAGCTGTCTGATACCTCCCCACACTTTATGTTCATGTTAGAGCTGCTATGGCTATATGACATGTCTCAGAGGTACAGGATTTGAACTTTTGTCTTTGAGGAAAGGAGATAGATGCCAACTGGTTATTATGAAGATGTCTGTCAGCCAGCAACAAAGTCTGAGGGAATAATCTAGAGCTATTTATCCTGTGGTTTTTGAAGATAAGGGAAGGACTCCATATGACTAAGCAGTCAAGGTCTTAACCTGTCCTTAAACAGACAAACTTACTGATATTTTAATTTCTAAAATGATCTCTCTACTGCATAGTTCTTACCTTAGCATGTTTTATCAAATCTTGGAAACTCTTTCTCAAAGAAATTTGGCTTTCACCTTCATGGCAGTGTTTTTTTACTTGTTTGTTTTTAAAACCATGTGTTGTTTGTTTTAAAATCTTCCTGGAATGATCTTTATTTCACAAAGTTTATTTTATTTCACTAGACTACTGACTTCAAGTTTGATAGTCTCAGCTCTTTTGAAATCGTTCCATTATGTAGCTTCATTTGATCATTTTGCAGTATCAAGTTGTGTGCAATTAGAGAACAGCCTGTGAATTGATGTAGTCACACTCACAAAAACTATTTCATTATTCCAGTATTAATAAGATATATAGATAGATCATGAACATTAAAAGCCCATAATATAGTTATTAATAAATGTAAAAGAGAAATGCCCATGACTTTTAACAAGGTAGAATTTAATTTCTTGTGCATTTGATGGGAGAGAGTGGCTCTCTCCCATAGAATGGAGTTTTAGCCATAATCAATACATGACATCCAAGGTTGCCTCAGATGTCAACATTCAGGCAGCAGTTAAGATGAATGAGATAAGTGTGCCCAAGGTTTTATGTGTCCATCCTGCAAGTGGTGTCTATAACATTTCTTCTCAGTTTCCACCAACTAAATTTCAACCCCATGGCCACACCTAATCACAAGGAACACTAGAGAAAGGCAGTGGATTAAATAAATAGCTAGTAAGTGACTTCTACACCAGTATGTCAGGAGATAAGCAATATTACTTGGATTTTACATACAACTCTATWGGTAAGTTGCTTAATCATAATCAGCTTTCATTTGAATTTTGACCTATTAATGATTACTTAATTTCTGTTATTTCTGTTCTTCTATAGTTGTGTAGGAAATTTCCTTCAAATTCATTTTTAAATAGGTTCTTTTTCCTTAAATCTGGATTGTCATCAACAAAACAAAATTAAATGTTTAAAATTTAGCCA